GTGTGTTGGCTTTTCTCCCTGCTCTCACCTAGCAAATAAAGCATTAGCAATTTCAGTGCATCCCAGCTCCCACTCATGTAATTCCACTTAAAATTACATACATATCCAATCTTCTACCAGTTTACAAGTTATTTTTGCTGATTGTAAGGGATTTAAACTTGGCATTTTCTACTAAGATGGAGAGCTTACCAAGCCAAAAATCCAAGCAGCTTTTAATAAAAATGTGACAGTGAAATCTTCCCCTCTATCATACCTAGCGGCATGTTTAAACATCAGGCATTCCAATAGTTTCCATACAAACATCTAGCTATATGCTTGAGATGTACAGATCAGGTTTCCTTCTGGAAGCATAAATAATTGCACAGTTACCAATGCAATAATACAGACGTGTCCACTGTCTTCAACAGAAAGGTAGTGGGAGCTCCAGCCTCTCAAAAACTATCCTGAAGCCTCTTCAAGTCACTGAGCATGTAATGGAAGCCAGTGTTACCACAAACATGAATGAAGGGGAAAATGCAAACGATTCCAGGAACCATTTATATACAGCCCCAAGCTTCAAAGGTGGTATTTTCAAAACATACTGTCTCCTTCTTGCAACTATCTGTATCAATCTTGTGCCAATAAACCCCATGAATGCTAAAAATATCAGAGTAAGTTATCACAAACTTGGGTGCCTCAACTAAGCTAAACTAAGCCATCTGCTCTGGGAGGTCATCAGCATCCTGTAGCAGAGCTGCCCTACCAGCAGAAGGAGGAACAGGTCATGGCACCTGATTGAAGCTAACTCAAATTCACATTATTTCACACCATCCTGGCTGCGGAGGATAGAACGTGCACAAGGCACACACAAGGTAGTGTGATTTGATGGACTACAGGAATTCTTCATAATGCTTAGCTGCCTAGAGCGATACCTGTAAGCAGACCGATACTAATACCCATGTAGAGGTGGCAGCGAGTATGCTCATCTGTTAACGACTTTTCTGCTGCACAGACATGGTGAAGCAACTGAGCTATCTTCCTTCCCTTTCAACAGAAGAAACTGATATCCTAAAAGAAAACATTGAAAACCGTATGAAAACTAAACAGAAATAGAGGTCTTGAAAAAGATGAGACAAAACACTCAACCACTCCCAAAAAAAGGGTAGCATACAAAATTCCACTGTGTCTCTGGAGACTGCTTTGTTATCACTTCTGAATGCCCACTGCAAAAAATTCAGAGAAGCAGCTGTGGAAAGAAAATTGAGTAAGGTCTACTGCAGTGTGCAATAAAAACCTAATTGCTCAAGCACATTTTGACATTTGAGAAGCAACTTAAGGACAGGACAGGCATATGGAGAGTTTCAGTTAAAGCAAAAGTTAATGTTTAACATTTAGCATATCACATAACTTACATATCAAAGCACTATTATAATTAGGTGTCCGTACTAAGTTCATTCAAAGTTCTTTGAACCAGCATGATCACCAGTATTCATGGTCTTCACCCTTAATACAATGGTTTGAGGGAAGTGACACAGGGCTCCAGGAAGTTTCACTACAGTAAACATTCTAAAAGAAGGTTCCTCAGCACCTTTCTTAGGCTAAATGAACAAAGCAGTAAGTCTTACTTGTACCACACTAAGAAAAAAGGAACCTGCCTTTAGCTATATTTTGTTTTTAAACACACGACAATGAACCAATTGGAGAAAATATGCTAGTGTTGCCTTAATTCAAAGGAAAGTAAGAAATAAGAGAAACAAGCAGAATACCATTAGATACGCTGTCTCTCCCACACAAATGAAAGTTTGGAGAACTCTATCCCCAAACACCAAGATCTCAACTATCCAAAGATAATCTGCATTTAATACAGAGAAGAGTCGTACAATCAAACTAATTGGAATAACAAGTTTTTACTGAAAACAATCTTTTCCTTCAAACCAAAGAGAAAAACCGTTAACATGAGTAGAGTAAAAATGTTTACATATACAGTTGTGATCAGTAGTGAAAGCTATAAAGTATCAGCAGCAATAACAAGACTTGAACAGAGCTCCCGTAGGAAGATTCAGGAAAAAAAGCTGTGAAGGGTAACGAGAAACCTACCTGACCATTCAAGAACTCACACTCCTATTAGTATACCCCTGAGAGACCAAGTGAAATAGTCTGAGACATAGTCAAGACCCAGAAGTGAACACCTACGTGAATGGCACCCTTTGGAAAACTAATAAGTTGAACTCATGAACTAAAATTAGAGGCACAGTATTACCTGTTAATGGAAAGAGGTTTAAGTTAGGGTTACTGAGATGCTTAAACTTCCACTTAATCTCTTCAAAAACTCCAAGATATTAGTTATATGCTAGTACATTTGCTTACACATAAGCTTGGAAAATATTGTTAGACAAGGTTCCTAAAAACTAAATCTCATCTTCATTCACAGCATAAACCAAGATTCCACAATTCAAAACAACAGAATGAACTGCAATTCATTCCACATCCTCATGCTCTCAGTAACACAGTTATTATATTTCTGTCCTTCCATCCTTCCCCCCAAACTGTTTTACCTGAAATATTTTCAGAAATATTATCAGAAAATTGTTACTGCTCTCCACACCTGTTGGCAATGGAGGTACGATCCAGAGGTACATTCCAGAGGTACAATCCTTTTACAGAGCTTCCATTTTCTAATTTGGCTTTTTTCTTCTCACCAAACTATGTTTAACCTACCTCTATCCCATTATTTTATACACTTAAGAGTTCATCAATCTAAACTTAAGTCATAACAAAAAAACCCGGATCAAGTTACCTGACAAACCATTCAAGATACAATCTTCTGATATAAACTCTATTCCAAGCTGCTTTCCATTCTCCTTGTAAACTTTCTGGAGGCTCTTATTTGGAAGCACATTGTAGTAATCATTTTCACCACCTTTTATTTCCACCTAGACAAAAACCCCACAAATTATTAGAAATTTTTCACCAACCTAAAGCAGTTTAATGTAAACAATTTGAAGCCCAGAAAAGTTAAACACATGTCCATTCTTCAAGACCATGTCAAAAAAGACATAATTGCTGAGTTTCTTTCAAAAATATAACATTCTGCCAAATATTAGCCTTGATCAAAACACAGCTGGTGTTCTGTCAAGTTTGCACTAGACAGCCAAATTCCAAAAGCATGGATTTCACAGAGAGTATCTCCAAAAATAGTAAGCAAGCAAGTCCTGTAACAGCTTCTAGTTATTTCCACTGCAGGTACTATTAAACTACACAGAATTCATTCTTTCACCAAATTCTATTTTACTATTTTTGTTCAGAACACTTCCAATAACTACATGCCCATTCATGAAATGGCTTCACACAGGCAAGAAGTTTGAAAACAAATGTAAAAAACATACTAGTGTCAAGTTTCAAAACAGATCTTAACTTTCTCTCTGCATAAAGTATACTTTCTGAAATCCTCTTCTAGTTAAGAGTGAAGGGGCCATACTAGGAAAACAGCTTCTGATGCCTCCAATAGACCTTAAAACTCCCTAGTTCACAGCACATACACTATACCTATTTGTCCTATGTGACACAGAGTCTAGTTGGAGGCCTGTAACCAGTGGTGTCCTCCAGGGGTCAATACTCGGTCCAATTTTGTTCAATATATTCATTAATGGACCTGGATGAGGGGACAGAGTGTATCCTCAGCAAGTTCACTGATGATACAAAACTGGGAGGGGTGGCTGACTCTCCAGAGAGCCACGCTGCCATCCAGCGTGACAGGCTGAAGAGCTGGGCAGAGAAGAACCTAATGAGGTTCAACATAAGCAAGTGCAGGGTCCTGCACCTGGGGAGGAAGAATGCTAAGCACCGGTATAGATTGGGGGTGGACCTGCTGGGAAGTAGTTCTGAGGAGAAGGATCTGGGGGTCCTGGTAGACAGTAAATTATCCATGAGCCAGCAATGTGCCCTTGCTGCCAAAAAGGCCAATGGAATACTGGGCTGCATAGGGAAGAGTGTGTCCAGTAGGTCAAGGGAGGTCATTCCCCCCCTCTTCTCAGCACTGGTGAGGCCACAACTGGAATACTGTGTCCAGTTTTGGGCTCCCCAGTTCAAGACGGACAGGGAACTGCTGGAAAGAGTCCAGCGAAGGGTAACCAAGATGATTGAGGGATTGGAGCATCTCCCTTATGAGGAAAGGCTGAGAGAGCTGGGACTCTTTAGCCTGGAGAAAAGAAGGCTGAGGGGAGACCTGATTATTGCTTACAAATATCTAAAGGGTGGGTTGAAGGAAGATGGAGCCAGACTCTTTTCAGTGGTTCCCAGTGACAGGACGAGGGGCAATCGGCACAAGTTGGAACACAGGAAGTTCCATTCAAATACACGGAAAAACTTCTTTATGGTTAGGGTGACAGAGCACTGGCACAGGCTGCCCAGGGAGGTTGTGGAGTCTCCTTCTCTGGAGATTTTCAAGACCTGCCTGGATGCAGTCCTGAGTAATGTGCTCTGGGCAATCCCGCTTTAGCAGGCGGTTGGACTAGATCTCTAGAGGTCCCTTCCAACTCTGAAGATTCTGTGATTCTGTGAACACAGACATTCTCTTCACGGCTGCATTAACCACTGACCTGTAACTACAGAGCAGGCAGAACCGCCTATGTTAGCAATACATTGCAAGGTAATGGTATTGCTGGAACCAGCTACACAAGAGATGCTTCCACTTACTAAAAACTAAGAAGAATGCTAACTGAAAAAATCACTCGTTTTTTCACATTTGGTTGCTATGTGAGCCTGCTGTTTAATGGGGCAAAGGAAATAGGGATGCTCCAGCTCAATGAAAAAAAGCTCAAGGTCCTATCCATCTTGAAGGTCCAGGAGGAAGATCTTGAAAATTGATCAGACCATCTTATCCTGAAGCTCCTGGGGAGAATATAGAGCAAACAAATCCTCCTAAGACCCATGTCCAGGCGCATGAATCACAAGGCAATTGTGACTATCCAGCATAGATTCATGGAAGAGCAGATGGTGCATGACCAAAATTAGCTTTTCATGATGACAGGTCTGGCTCAGTGGACACAAGACATTCAGGTTCCAAGCGTTATGATCAGTGGCACAAAAATCCAAATTGCTGCCTGTTTCTTGCAGCATCCATCTGCAACCAATACTGGTGCCATCACTATTTTATCTTTATTATTGATGCAGACAACTCCTGTGAGACCACAGCTAGTGTATTGTGTTCAGTTTTGTGCTCCTGAACTAGAGCAAGTCCAGGGGAAGGCCATCAAGATGATTAGGGTGCTGGAGAACATGAATACAAGGAAAGGCTGAAAGAATTTGGTTTGTTGAGCCTTCAGAAAAGAAGGTTAAGCTACCTACAACTACCAGATGGGGAGGGTAGAGAGAAGACAGAACCAGACTTCTCAGAGATGCCCAGTGACACAACAAGAAACAACAAACAAAATTCCTATTAGAAACAACAGACTCACAGAAGTTGGTAAGTACCTCTGGAGGTCATCTTCTCCAACTCCCCTGCTCAAGCAGGGTCATCTAGAGCGTGTTGCCCAAGACCATATCAAGGCAGCTTTTGAGTATCTCCAAGGATGGAAACACCACAATCTCTCCAGGCAACCTGTTCTAGTGCTCAGCCATCACAATATAAACGTCAGGAAAAACCTTGTGGTAGAGCACTGCTGAGAGAGGTTGTAGAATTTCATCCTTGGAGATACTCAGAAGTCCACATGGCACAAAGCAATCTGCTCTAACTGGTCCTGCTCTGAACAGAGGGAAGACTAGATAACCTCTGGAGGTCTCTCCCACCCTAGGTTATTCTACAATTCTGTGGCATTCAGTTTATAAAACAAAGCTTTCTCTCACTACACAAAGCAACAGAATAGCAAATAGTGTCATTAACATTTTGATTTCTTTCAGCTAAACACCATGCAGACAAACGCTGTAAGCCTCGATTTCCTATTCTGGCCTACCTTATCTCCAGTGTAACAGAAACACATGACCATGAACTCATTCTTACTTTGCATCCTGTGGCCAGCGCTGCGGATTTGAAGCAGTTCTCAACCTTCTCTGTCAGAACAGAAAGATCTTTCATTGAAGGGGCACGCAAGTAAAACTCTAGTTCAGTGTAAGAAGGAATGATGTTAGGTTTCACACCACCATTTTTTATTACACCTGCAGAAACAGAAAATCATGTTACCAGCGTTAAATACAAATGCTTGATCTTCAGACCTGTCATGAAACTCCATGCTCAAGAACTAAACATATAAACAAAACATCAACTGAGCATGAAACAGAAAGAATGTCAAAAATACAGTATGAGGACAGTTTCTTCATCACATCAGATTAAGTGGAATGTGTACATGTTTTTCAGCACTATTTCATTGCATTCTTTGGTTATCTGTTATAAACCTAAAGACACCAAATTAGCATTTGTAATTAATCCCCTGAAATACAATGCATCAGAGTCATAAAGCAATTCGTCTGCCACTGAAAAAGAAAAAAGTTTGTTATAAAGGCTACCTTGGATTCCAACTTTTAAAGGTTTCCTCAACTAGAATGTTTCCAATTTATTTTGCCATCTTAGAGAGAAATTCATTACATTGCATTTCTCAGCAATACTGGAGTAATGTGTGAGTTACAGTGCATGGAAAGTTCATTAGATTCCTCATGCTAATTCTTTAGAAATATTGGTGTTTATAACATATGCACAGTTTTATTCAAGAGTGAAGTTTGAGTTGAAAGTGTTCTCTCAAGGAAATGTGTGACAAGTACATAGTTTGCAATTTTGGCATCAGAGGCATTATCATAAAAGACCATAACATTTAGATATTTCAACAAAAAAAATAATCCAACCACATTGTAGACCTCAATTCTACATTAGATTCCACTGCACTAACTGCTCATTGCTTTCAACAGGCTGCTTGTTTCCCTGGCCTTCAACTCTCAATTTATATATGTAGAGTAACATTTCTTTTTTGTAAATCTTGAGAAACTATCTACCTTAAATGGAAATACTGCACGAAGTTACTGACATCTGTCACTGAAACCTAAAAGGACAGCACTATCAGGAGGCAAACAGGCAGCAATTCTTTACTTTTGGTGCAGAAAACCTATTAAGATTATGAAACTCCCCCCTCAAGTAAAAATCTTTCCAGTCCCGAATAAAGTCAAAGTAAACAGAGTGTTGAAACCACCATTAAACCACTATCAGTACTAGTCCATAACAAAAGGAACAGCTCAGATGAGAGGGACAGACATCACAGAAAAGGAACCAGCAAATCAGCAAGTAAGTAATCATACAAATTTGCATGACAAGTCATAATATGTTTACTTAAAACAAGTAGCTTAATGAGCCTTCATTTGTCTTCCAACACATTTGTAAATGGAACTGGAAAGAGTCTAAGAGTATGCCTACACTTAAATTTCAAAGCAACTGTAATATGGACTGCACAGCAGATCTGGCTTAAAAGTAGTCTGCCTGCACACTACTAATAGCACCTAATTTGCCCTTCTTCTAGATGGAACTTTTTTTACAGCCTGTTTAACACAATTTCTTGAACAGAAGAAAAATCTACCTTACTATTTTTCAAGGGGGACTCCTAAGCAGGGAAGAAATTTATCAAATATTAGACAAACTGAAACCAACATTGTTCAAATACATAAAACATTGCTTAGAAATTCTAGACTTCAGGTAATGGAAACTATTTCAATTCTTGTTTGTGGGTTAACACTAAGATTTTTAGGATCACTTTTGTCAGCCATGGCTGTTACTGCAAGCCTGCAACACGACTTCCAACACACTGTTGTAGAGAAAGCATTCCTAAAATTAAATCTCATTGAGTGCTTATACTTTCCCAAAGGTATTTTAAATACTTCCAGTTTGAAAACCAGGTTTATGACAGCAGTTGTATCAACACAGTAATTTAAGTTTTGCTGTGGTTCAGGAAGCGTCACCTCTAGGATGCTTGTTTTTTGCCTACATTAGCCACATAGCCTTTAGAAACTATGAACAAAACCCCCAGTATTTAGGGTTTTAGGCTTAGATCCAATAGAAGACTTAGGCATCTCCAATCTTAAACCTGCAACACATGAGTTTCAGACACCAAAACTTATAATTGAGTGCCTTGTTTCCTACAGAGCAATAGCATAGGGAGCCAAGACTATGCCCACTGTCTGAAATTCATTTGGGTGTGCTGCATAGCAGAACTGTGAACATCTTCATCTACAGTCAAAAGGGTTAGGGCTTCCAGACTCCATCCAGATATCCCTGGAGAGAAATACACACATACATTATACAGCACAAGCAGCCAAGACATATCATGATCATTAGCTCAGAACTTCTGGAAGCGTTTTAAGCTCTTAAGTTTTCCAAGTAAGCAGTTCTACATTTCTAAGTCCTGGAGAAATGGCAAAGTTTCTTAATTTCAACTTGGAAAAGAGTTGTGTTGGGTGTAATAAGGGAAACATGGGTTTATAGCTAGAAGACAGATTCCATCTCAACTTCTGAAACTTTCTTACTGTACAAAAAGAAATACATGATGTTGAAGGAGTACAAGTCAAGCTTAATGGTTAACATGTCTTATTGCAAAATGATGTTTCTACTTCAAAGTCTACTAGATATTAAATATTAGAATCCAGCGCACATCTGGTTGATTGGGCTATTAACCAGAACGACAGGCTTCTGGCATCACTTGTTTTTTGTACTTGAGCAAATAAACTTCAGTCACTCTAAACCACTACACCTTTCCACAAATGTCAATATAAATGCCATTTAATCAATGGCATGTCTGCTAAAAAGAAAAAATAATGATGCAGTAAATACTTCATTTTCCAGAAGCATTTAATCTTACACCTTTGCAAAAACATATTAACTTTAAGGAATTCACGGTCATGTACCAAAATAAACTTAGTGGTTTTTTTTCTTTTTCTTTCTGAACTGCAACTTCAAGTGCAAAGACTTAAAATTTGTCTAGCCTCTACCTAGGTACCAGTATCCTCTTTTGAATCTGACCTACAAGCCTATTTTCAGAAGTTAGTTCCAGATACTGACATGATTTTAAAGATTACAGACCAACTATTTAAATGGAATGGTGCTATTTCATAATATTTGAAGTGACTAAATTAATTTAGTGCAATAATGCAATACTTGAAGATGTAGGATTTTGTAAGTTAGTACTTCAACAGCCTAAACTCTTACTTGCTGGACATTAGATTTAATGAAGATCTCACCATGAACTCTCCAGGTCGGTTTCATTTGCTGTCTTAAAACAGACAGATTGTTGTATGCAAGAACAGCAGCATCTAATGCATTAACTCCTTCCCAAGGATAAGCAGCAGCATGAGAAGCTTTTCCATAGTATTTCACAGTCACACTAGGAAATAAAAGGCATTGCTTATTTTTCATTCACTGAAAAAAACCTCTAAAATAGAAAGTTCCTTTTGTTCACACAAGTATTTGTTATTTTTGTGCAGAACACAAACAATTTACCTGGCACTACACTGTTGCAAAGTTGAACTATCTTTGAGTGCAGGAAGATGCTGAAAGATTTCTAGAAAACCAATGAAATAGAATGATATCAAGACCCAGTCAGGCAAAAGAGCTACCAGTAACATACCACCATACAGCCTTTGCCTGAAATATACTGTCTTCATATACCAATTAAATGTCTCTAACACTATACCTCTTGAGTGTTCTGAGACAGTCACTAACATTCTTCTCAAATAGAAGACAAATCTTTTTCTCTGATCCAAAATTAGACATCGATTGTCCCAATTATTGTCAAGCTTCTACAAAATGCATACAATACATAAGACAGCAAAAGCACATTACTAAGATCACATACAAGCCATGTCTAAATAACAAAAGTCAAGCTTAAGAAGTGCAGTAAAGGCAAACCATAGTATAAAATATACATTACCATGCTACAGCAAGGATGTTCTTTCCCTGCACATCTCAAAAATGCTGGTAGAAAGGCTTCCAACAAGAAAGAAATCTAGCGCAAAGGTTATCCTCCCAACACATCCAGTAAGAATTCATGCTTGGCTTCATCTTATAAGGGCCCTTTATATTAGCCTTCCAAAATAATTTAGCATTTCAAGTTATATGTAAACTCTTTACATGAGAGGCAAATATTAAATACTGCCAACTACATAAGGTATTACTAAACAAATACACAAATATTCAGGTTTTTATCAATAGTAGAGATTTTAACTAGGTCTGTTTGTCTTCAGTACCTAGTCCTCTACATTAAAAATCTCCATCCTCAAGCTCAAAGAGCTCCCCTGAGACACACAAGCTCTCTCTTACCCAACTAGGGCAAGCCTAACTTGCTTGTCCCTCTGTCTTGCACAGATGCCAACTTAGCCACTTATCCTGAACTGACCCCTCATGCTCTGAACCATGCCATGGCTGTAAGTTAATACCAGAACTTAAACACTGGACAGCAAAGAGGGACACAATGGAGTGTACTGTTGCAGCACAAAATGTCTCCTGCTACTGCCTGCAATCTAAATTAACTACGCCCTTTTCCATCCTCCAAGATAACCACACATCCCATTCTGTAAAGTATGAGTTTTATTTACAAAGTATTTACAGCTGCTCCAGCCAAGTCAGCCTCAACGAGGACACGGCTGAAGTGCCTCTATGCAAATGCACAGAGCATGGGGAACAAACAGGAGGAGCTAGAGATGTGTGCACGCCTCCAAGCCTACGATCTCATTGGCATCGTGGGAACTTGGTGGGGTGACTCCTATGACTGGAGTGTTGCCATAGAAGGCTACAGGCTCTTCAGGAGAGACAGGCAAGGGAAACGAGGAGGTGGTGTTGCCTTATATGTTAACAAGCAGCTGGAATGCATGGAGCTCAGCCTAGGGATGGATAAAGAGCCAACTGAGAGCCTATGGGTCAGGATTAAAGGGAAATCGGGAGCAGGGGACATTACAGTGGAGGTCTGCTACAGGCCAGCTGACCAAGAGGACCGAGTGGATGAAGCCCTCTATAGACAGATAGGGGCGGCATCACTTTCACAGACCCTGGTCCTCATGGGTGACTTCAACCACCCCAACATCTGTTGGAAGGGTAACACAGCCAGGCATAGGCAATCCAGGAGGTTCTTGGATTGCATTGAGGACAACTTCCATCTCCAAGTGGTTGAGGAACCAACGAGGAAGGGAGCTATGCTGGACCTTGCCCTTACCGACAAGGAGGGGCTGGTAGACAGTGTCAAACTCAAGGGCAGCCTGGGCTGTAGTGACCACGAAATTGTCGAGTTAGAGATCTTCGAGGCAGCGTGGAAAGTTCGTAGCAGGCTGACCACCCTGAACTTTGGGAGAGCTGACTTTGGCCTCTTAAAGAATCTGCTTGGTATGGTGCCACGGGATGAAGCGCTGGAGGGAAGAAGGGCCCAAGAAAGTTGGTTAATATTCAAGGACCACCTC